TGCATCTTTCCAACTGCATTTTGCACATTAGTTATGTTAAAACATTGTGAAATATTGTGACTTAAAGGATTACCAGGAAAAATAAATTTAAAAAGATAATTAGAGAAGATGGTATATATTGTGTGTGCAGAGAAAGAACAAGGAACTAATATTTATTAAATGTTTCTATGCTTGGTATTTTACATATGTTTCTCACTGAGTATACATTAATTCTTTGAGAGAGTGCTTTATTATTATTTTATGGGTGAAAAAATTGAGGCTTAATAGAAGTTAAGTAATTGTCCTCTATTATAAAATCAGCAAATGGCAGAGCCAGGATTAGTGACTGATCCCAAGTTCTTTTTTTTTAAATATTTTATTTATATATGGACACAATATTTTTATTTTGTTTATTTTTTTAATGTGGTGCTGAGAATTGAACCCAGTGCCTCACATGTGTGAGGCAAGCGCTCTGCAATTGAGCCACAACCTCAGCCCAAGTTCTTAATCACAGTGCTAAAACTGAAAATTAAAATGTTGAGTTAGATTAAAAAGAGAGAGAATCAAAATAGAATCTTCTATTCAGAGTAGTATCCTTTAGATATAAAATGATTGTTAATTTTTGCAATGTTAAATAGAATTACTTTTAAGAATGTTTATGTGTATATTTGATAAATACAAAATAATATATGTAATACATATTGACATCATATGGCATAATAAAATGAACCCTTAGAAACTCTTTATAGATTTCAACATCACAATGCTGTTGAAGAAACTTCTGTATTTCTTCCAGATTTCAGACCCTTTCTTTCGTATGCATTTTATTTTGCCACCTCTGATAGCCTCTTCCTGAGTTTCCTGGTAGTTATTTCATTACCTCTATTTTTGTTTGAATATCTTAATTAAGGTATGCTAGACATATAATCAATTGCATGTATTTAAACCATATAATTTGACATTTTTACACATGTATGCACCCTTGAAAACATTACCATAGTCAAGGTAATGAACATATTAATCACTCACCCACCCCAGTTTCTTCATGCTGCTTTGTGGTATCTCCCTCCCTACCACCTACCTGAGCAACCACTAATCTACTTTCGGTCAGTATAGAATAGATTTTAGCATTTTTTTCTAGGATTTTATACAAATGGAATCATATAGTAGTATGTACTAGTTCTTGCTTTGGGTTCTTTAAGTCAGCATAATTAACACATAGCTACATAAATCCATAGTTCATTTCATTTCATTGCTAAGTAATCTTGTGTTGTTTATATTTACAGTTTATTTGTCTATTCATCTATTGATAAGCATTTAGGATATTTTCCAGTTTGTGGCTATCACAGAGAAAGCTGCTATGAACATTTCTGTATTCATCTTTATATTAACATGTACTTTCAGATTTCTCTTAGGTATTTACCTAGGAACAGAATGGTTTCTTCATATAGTAGAGAAAATATATTTAACTTTTTGAAAAACTATCAGGCTATTTTCCAGTGTTTGTACCATTTTAGGTTCTTACTAGCAGTATCTGAAAGTTTCGGTTGCTTCTTATCCTTCTCATCCAGCACTTGGTATAGTTTGTCTTTATAATTTTAGTACTTCTAAGGGAATGTAGTGATAATTGTGGTTTTAGTTTGTATTTTCCTATTGACTATATGTTGGTTATCTCTTCATAATACTTATTTGCATCCAGGTAGACTTCTTTGGTAAAGTATGCTCATCTTCTGCCCCCTTTTGCACAGGTAGAGGGTTGAAGATTGTTGCTTAGGGCTTTGCTAAGTTTTTGAGGCTGGCTTTGAATTTGTGATCCTCCTGCCTCAGCCTCCCTAGTCTCTGGGATTACAGGCATGCACCACCGCACCTGGCTCTTTGATGTCATATCTGAGAAATCTCAGCCTAACCTTAAGTTCATAAAGATTTTTGTCTGCTTTTTTCCCCAGTAGTTTTAAGTGTATAATCATTTGAATTAATTTTTGTATGTGATATATGAGTTAGAGATAAAAGTTTTATATATTTTGCGTGTGGATAGCCAGGTGTACCAGGACTGTTGTGTTCTAGTATTTGTGTTGTACGAAGTTAATCAAGAAAAACATGTACAGATATTCATGTTTTTCTTGATTTAAATACCTAGGAGTAGAGTCACTGCATCATGCTATTGTGGGTCTGCAGCTGGACTCTGTTCTGTTCTATGGATCTATGTCTCTTGTTTCTAACACTGTATTATCTTGATTACTATACGTTTTTGACTTGTAGTATATGCATACCAACTTGGTTCTTTTTTGAAGCTGTTTAAGCTATTTTAGGTTCTTTGCATTYTAACATGAATTTTAGAAATAGCAGCTTCTTTGCAAAAGTTTCCTGGGATTTTGATTGGGATTACACTGAATCTACAGATGAATTTTGGAAGAGGTATGGGTTTTTGAACCATGAACATGGTATATCTCTTCATTTATTTAAGTATTCTTTAATATGTCTCAGTAGCCTTTCAGAGTTTTAGTTTGCAGGTCTTGCAAGTCTTTTTTTCAGACTTATCTCTAAATATTTCACATTTTAGTGCCACTTTTTAAATTAATTAATTAATTAATTAATTATATATATTTTTAAATGTCTTTCTCTTTTTACCAATTTATTTTCTTTATTTTGTTTATTTATTTTTATGTGGTACTGAGGATCAAACCCAGGGCCTCGCACGTGTTAGGTGAGCACTCTACTGCTGAGCCCAACCCCCATTTTTTTTTATTATAAATCTTTTAAATTTTCAATTACTCATTGCTAGTCTGTAGAAATACTGTTGACTTTGTATATTACACCTTACTTTTATTCACATTCTAATAATGTAGTTACTCCTACTGCAAATTCAACTGGGTAATGTTATTATCTAGCTATCTTCCCATCTTCATATGAAGCAAATCTTTGTGGAAGAATAGATAAATTTACTGGTAAGAGATAATAAAAAATATAGTAGAATCAAGCATATTCAAGTATTTTCTGTTTGATAAAGGTGACATTTCAAAAAGGCTGACTTGAAATTGAAGTCTTATCAGCAGTATAGACAGGTAAAGTTTGAGATACCTATCTGTGGAGATGTCTGGGCTAGAGATAAATATTTGGGAGTCATCCACATACATGGTGTTTAAGGCATAAGACTGAATGAAATCTCCAGATGACAAGAATATGGTAGAGAAGTATATGGACTGAGTCTTGGATACTTCCAAGTTCAGAAATTTAGTAGACAAAGTAGCAAAGGAGACCAAGAAAAAAATAGCCCATAAGTAGGGAGGAAAATCAGTGTGGGAAGTAAAGTGGAGAAATTTTTCAAGGAGGAAGTAATCCCCATGTTATCTGATAGATAATGGCTGACCATTTAGTTTATCAGTGTAGAAGCCATTGGTGATATTGACAAGATCAGTTTTAAAGAGTTATGAAGGTAACAGCCCAGTTTAATGAGATTTAAGAGAAAATGAGAGGGAAAAAAATGGCAAATATAACTTTCAAAAGCTTTGCTTTAGCTGGTGGTGCACACCTGTAATCCCAGTGGCTTGGGACGAATAGGCAGGAGGATCGTGAGTTCAAAGCCAGCCTCAGCATCTTAGGGAGGCCCGAAGCTACCCAGTAAGACCTTATCTTTAAATGACATTCAAAAAAGGGGCAGACATGTGGCTCAGTGTTCAAGTGCCTTGGGTTCAATCCCCAGTACCAAAACAAAACAAAACAAAACAAAAAAGCTTTTCTCTAAGGAGAAACTGACAAACAAAATGTTTACTAGAGAGGTTGTATCAATTTTGTAGTTAAGATGAAAGAAAGAAGTTGCAGAACATGTGGATGCATATGGGAATGATAGAGTGATGATGCAGAAAAGAGAGGGGAGAATTACTGGAACCATATTTTTGAATACTACAGTGATGGGATCTAGAATGCAAGTGGCAGGGCCTTAGGAGACTGGACAGTATCCATTGTTTTCTAGAGAAAAGACAGGATCATGGGCACAATTGCAGACAGGCTGGTAGGTGTGACAGAAGATTAAGTTCTCTCTTCTTTGCTGCTACTTTCTTAATGTAATAGAAAGTAGGGTCATGTGCTACAAGGGAGAAGGGGAGAAGGGATGAAACATTTAGCTGAATGGACCAGAGAGAATGTATTATCATTGACTTGACAGCATTATGGGGTCTATTGAGGTTAATGATCATGATTTAAATGAAAATATTTTTGTTTTTCTCCATACATGTTCGTCTGCATAGGAACAGATCTAAAATAGGCAGTATTGGTTTATCTGAGGTTAGGTTTTGTCAGGTGACTGAGCAAGTAAGAATGTGTCAGAAGACGGAAGGAATGAGTTGAAATTGGCTTAAGAGGGAATTAAAGATTTAGGGTCGGTAAGGAACTGGGAAAGGGTGGTAAGATCCGCAGATTGAATAATTGTAAGGGCTGGGGTAAGAGGGAGAAGCAGGTGATGGGTCTAAGTAGGGTTCTTGATTTTGAGTAAAAGAGTTTCACTCATGACCAAGCCAAAGCCAAGAGTGCAGGAGAGTTCAAAGACCAGGATATGTTGGAAGGATTATCGATGTGGATTCTAAGTTTGTGCTCAGAACCCGAAGTCCTTTTCTATTATTTTAAAATTATTTTTGTTGCCATTGGACTAATAAGGTTAGGACTTAATTTGTGAGAGTTCCATATTTCTTTCATAATTTGTTTTTTAGTTCTTTGTGCACTGTGAGATTTTATTATCTTTTATTCCTTTGTTGCATTTTAAATCTTAGTGATTGTATTTCTAATTTCCAAGAGTTCCTTTTTGCTTTTGATTAATTTTTCATAACATAATTTTCTAGAAAAAATATTAGTTTTTGATGATCACATGATTTGTTTCAATACATTTAATTTATGAATCAGAATATAATTCTTTGTTTCCATTAAGTTCATATCTGTATTCAGATATTGTATGTCACATGTAATTTTTTTTCTAAGTGAGCACATATAATGTATTCTCTAGTTAACTTTTACAAATCTTTTAACTTTAGGTATCAAAAAATAAAGATGGAAATGAACAAAGTGAAACTGTATCACCATCCGAAGATGAAACATTCTCCTGGCCAGGTCCCAAAACAGTTATGCTGAAAAGAACATCTCAAGGCTTTGGTTTTACATTAAGGCATTTTATTGTTTATCCCCCAGAGTCTGCAATTCAGTTTTCATATAAGGTAAGATAAATAAACTTGGAAAAAACACAAGTACATTTCTATTTCTTTTTGGTCTCCCAGACATACTTGCCTTCCCTACTGTCTTTTCTTTTTTTTTTTCTATCTTATTGTTGTATTTTCATTTTGATTATCTTTTTTTAAAGATTTTTTTCATTTTCTAGAACAAAAACTTTAGTCTTCTCTGAAAGGTCAAACTAATTCTAAACTCCAGATTTATTTTTCAAGGTCTTCTAGACTGCATTCTATTTTTTTCTAATATGTAACATTTCCCTAATATCTAGAAAAGTGGTAAGTTTTCTGGGCAAAGTATACAGCAGAAATTATTCATGAAAATATTTTGATAGTTATAGAAAATTAACAAGATTAGAACAATACTTTCAGATATGTAATATGATGGTGAGTTAGGATTTTAAAACGGCTTCTTGTCAGAGTACATGAAATGAATATACTGTTCCAGATAGCAATACAGTCTCAAAAGGGGAAACATACTAATTATGATTGCAGTTGACACATTGAATACTTGCTCTGTTCTTTACTATTCTTTATGTCCATTATCTCACTTCATCCACACCAAAATCCTATGGAGCAGTCTTATATAACAGATGTGAAAACTGATCTGGGTCATATAATGGGTAAGTGTACCAGACCTAGGGTTTGATTATGGCTAATAAATATGTATTCAAGAGGGCTGGGGATGTGGCTCAAGCAGTAGCACGCTCGCCTGGCATGCGTGCGACCCGGGTTCGATCCTCAGCACCACATACCAACAAAGATGTTGTGTCCGCCGAGAACTAAAAAATAAATATTAAAAATTCTAAAAAAAAAATATGTATTCAAGGAACTAAATCTGTTTTTAAAAGGTAGTATCTAATTGTATCTGGAAACCATCTCTTTCTTGTTATATTTTTGTTAAGTACATCTTTCTAGTAAAATGTTTTCCTCTTTTTAAAATCAGAATAGCTTTTAAGGATTATAAATAATTGTTAATTTAGAAGTAAAATTTACCAGCGTGGGTTTCCTGAAATATTGTAATACTGCTGGCTAAGATTCTTCTTTACCTTAAAAAGGTCTAAAATAATATTACTAATATATTAGGTTACATATCAGAGTACTTGATAATTATATTTTAGGGTTGAGTATTTTTAATCTTTTTATTTTGTTTTGAATAAAAGCTTTGGGTCATGACAACAAATAGATAGTTACAGTTTTTATAAGATAATTTTACCAAGCTTAGATTAAAAGTATATATATATATATTTAAAATTTTTAATTTGTTTTTAGTTGTTGATAGACCTTTATTTTATTTGCTTATTTATATGTGGTTCTTGGAATTGAACGCAATGCCTCACACGTATGAGGCAAGCACTCTACTTCTGAGCTACAACACCAGCCCCAAAAGTATATTCCTAATGGGAAATATTTCTAGAAATTTCAGTAGCATAATATAATTGTTAATAGCATAATCATTGGAGTCAAAAGAGCTTAGGTTTGAGTCCCATCTCTTTTTTAACTCTCTGACCTCACTGGTTGTGTGTTTAAATGATATAGTACATACAAAACACTTAGAACAGGAATTGACATATAATAATTGTCCAGTAAATTTCAGCTATTAATACTATTATTTTGAACAGATAATCTTGCAAATAGGTCTCAGTCTTGTATATTTTTCATGAAAAATAAACATTGAAACCTCCCCTTTTTTGTTGCAATGGTAATTGAACCAGGACCTTATGCATTTGAGGAAACATACACCCACTCAGCTACATCCCCAGCCCCAAAAGACTTTTTTTTTTAAAAAAAAATTTCATATTGTAAAGCTTTTAGAAAGCATGTAATTAATATAACAATGTCTTTATTATGTCACTTAGCTGGCAGCATTACTGGTCTTAGAACAGAGCTTATAACCAGAAGAAGAAGAAAACAACATTTGAGCAGCCAAAGTAAAGGTCAAAAATTATGTAATAAATTATCAGTCCTTAATCAAATGTCTTGTTTTTCTTTCTACAGTACATGGTAACTTCCATATGGTAGAGGCTCAGCAAGTATTTGAATAAATAATTTTTTAACTAGTTTTTTAAAGGTTGTTTCTAATTTCTCAGCTAGATATAGGTAACAGGGCATGAAAGCAGCAAACCAAGTAGATAAACTTCCAGACTGAGTACAATAATTTAAATATGTAGCAACTTAGAACCAATTCATTTATGTAAACAGTTTGGGGTCCTGTAATAGCTTCTAAAGTCACCACATTTAAGTACAGGGTAGTAATGACCAGTCAGCCTTCTCTCCCAAACTCAGCTTCATTTGTTCTACTGCTGACTTGGTGACTCCTCTTGAATATCTTCATTAGATACCTCATAATCAACATGTCAAAAACTGAACTCCTAGTATCCTCTGTTGGCTTTATCTACAGCTTTCTCTTCTCTATTTGTGATTCCACCTTCTGACAAAAGACACTTTTAGTGAGATTTTAATTGGGAGGTTAGTTTCGATTAAATTGAGCTTGCTATGATTTAAAAACAGTTTTTAAATGTGTATTTATAAATGGTTATTGTTTTTTTATTTTGTAGGATGAAGAAAATGGAAACAGAGGAGGTATGCTGTAAAATTATTAATTTTTCTCTGAATGTTTTTCTACCCAGGTTGTTCTGTTTTTAAGTAATATTAACTGAGATAATATGTGTTTGGAAGTTCAAACATGTAAGAGTTTTCAGATGTAAGATCATAGAAATTAAATATTTTTTATTGTAGTCTTCAAAGTTTTATGAATTCTATTGTTACAGTTTGATAATTATTTTATTATTGATATCATTATTTTCAGGAAGGTATCTGAGATTTTTATTTTAATTAATAACTTTTCTCAATTTAGTGATCCTTTTGAGAAAGAGTGTTTTGCGTTTTGTCATATAGGTTTATTGACTCAGATATTGAAGAGAAGAAGATTTGGAATCTTCTTGTAGTTAATTTTACTTAAAAATTATTTAAGGAGCTTAAAAAGAGAATTATGCTGAGGTTAGGATTATTTCTTAATAACATTTATTTTTTTTAATTTTAAATTTTAGATCAGCTTTAATTAGTTAAAGCTTACATACAACAAATGAACCCATTAAAAACTATTCATTTGCATAAAATTTTAAGACTTAAGTTGCAAAAATAGTATAGAACATTTCCAGATAGCTTTTATTTAGCTTTCCCTGTGTTAAAAACTTACATAACACATGATATAGTTAACAAAAGTAAGGAATTAGCATAGGTATGGTATTATTGCTTTAACTTACAAACTTTATTTGAATTTTATCAGTTTTTCCACTAGTGTCTTTCTGTTCCAGAATCTTACACTGCATTCAGTTGACATACCCCCTTAGTCTCCCCCAGTCTGTGACTATTCCTCGTGTTTTTTTTCTATTTTCTTTTTTTTTTTAATTTTTAAAACTTTGTGACCTTGACTTTTGAAAAGTACTGGTCAGTTTTTATTTTATACAATATCTTTGAATTTGGATTTATTGAATATTTTCTCATTGTTAGTTCAAGTTTATGTATTTCTAGCAAGAATACCACATTTGTACCTATTTTAAGTGTACAGTTTGGTGAGTTTTAATAAATGTTCTATGAAACCACTGTCCCAATTGTGATATGATATCAAAAATAACCTTTCCATCATTCCATAAAATTTCCTTGTATTCCTTTGTTACTCTCCTCACCTTAGCCCATCGCTAATTTGCTTTCTGTTACTATAATTAGTTTTGTCTTTTTCAGAGTTTCAGTAAATTTATTCTTGTTGTGTCTTTTGTAACATGCATATTTTTGAAGTTCACCATATTGTATGTTTGAGTATTAACAGTATTACCTTTTTGTTGTTGTTGGTTAATTTTCTTCTTTATGAATTTACCACAAATTGTTTATCCATCAGTGTACCTTTATAATATCTATATCTTACAAATCTGAATTGAGGTCTTGGAAAGGTTATAAGGGTTAAAATGAAGAGGAAAATGGTTTCTTTCAGCACTATCAAAAGTAATCTGAGGATGTAAAACTAGGTAGGACACTTCATAGTTGTCATTTATGCAGTATGGGCCACTTCTCTGTCACCATCTATCATGCACTAGGGTTTAGTTTGAATTCCAAACACTGTTCAGCATGGGTTACAAATAGGCTTTTGTTGGGAAAAGGAAAACTTACTGCAAACCAGCTTCAGTAAGAGCACAAAGAATGTGTGTCTTCTTCCCAGCATCCTCCAGGCTGATAGTCTGATGCCAGGGAACCACTGGGCATTTGACATCTAGAATTTTGTGCCTATCATGGGGTAAATACATATCTAATAAATATATAAAGACATGAAACTATGCTGATCATTATGTATTATGCCATAGCTTACTTAAGTGATTCAATTTAGTTAATTATTTGCTTTGACAGGAAAATAAACATTTGCTAAAGAAAACTGAAGGATCTTTGTCTAGCAAAAAATTTAGAGAGGAATGATAATGTGGCAGCAAAGGGTATGATCTGCTGGGGAAGATTATAATTTACCTATTTGTTAATTTATCCCTAATCTCATTCAAAAAAAGTTTTGTGCCAATATGCAAAAATACATGCATTTTATAATAAAATAAATAAGGTTAAAAATAGATTTAGGGTTGAGAATGAATTGACATTCAGGAGATTTATTACTCATAAATTCATGCACCTTTATCAAAGATAGACTGTGAATTTGTTTTTGAGCGCTCCAGTCATCAAAGAAAAAGTGAGAGTATAGTTAGTTAAGAATACTCAGTTATCCATAAGAAAGCATGCTGATTACATCAAGGTCTGAGACAGTTGTCTCCTGTAGATATTCATAATGGAAAACAGTAATACAGTAGATAATATCTTTACCAGCATTCCTTCATATGGCTATCTTTAAAGTGATTCTTCAATGTAAGCTGACTTCAAAGCCCTGATTCAATTCAGTTTAAAGTGCTTCTCAGCTGGGGAGAGTATTGCTCACCAGGGTATATATGGAAATATATGTCTATGTCCTAGACATCTTTGGTTGTCATAATTGAAGAAGAGTGGGATTGTGCTACTGGCATCTAATAGGTAGAGACCAGAGATACTGTTGAACATTCTTCACTGTTAAGTAAGAAATTTATGAAGCCTAGAATGTCTGTATTTCTTTTCTTAGAAAAATAATATGAAAAGGTTGGAGGGTATATAAGAAAATCGGGTTATAAAATACTTCTAATATATTGGAAAGGAGAACTGCTTGATTTGGGTGAGGGGAGAAAAAGAGGAATAGTGGCATAAATTAGGTTAAGATCGAGGACTTACCCAGTACCTGACATTATAATACATGTTATTATCCTTTTTCAAATTAGCTATTCAAACTCTTCTTTTAACTCTACCATCTTATTTCTGTTGACTTATGTTTAATATCCTCCATCATTTAATTTTTTTAAAAATAATTATTTAAAAAATGGTCTGACTTACATACAGTCAAGTTTAGTAGATAATGTAGAATATACTTAGTATATTATGAGAGTAAATCTATGAATCCTTCATTGAGGAAGTTAAAATCAAGGAAACTTATTCAATATTTCTGAATACTTTTAAAGACAGTTCACATAAAGGCCAGGGAGATCTCAAGTTTAGAGGCCCTAAGTACTTTTTTAGAAGTAACCATCACTTCTTACTCAGTTCTGACTGCTTGGAAAATTTCCTGAGTTAAAGAGTTAGTTATTTGTGATAGGCCTACCTGGTTGTGTCTCATTCCTTCAAATGTAGGTTTGCTTTTGTCAGCTTAATCCACAAGATCTATTTAACTTAACATAATAATCATATATCATTTCAACTAAACTGATCAACCATTGGACCATGTAATTATTTATAGAATATAGCTTATTTAGAGGTAGACTCAAAATTTATTATTTTTATTCAGTAGAATTTAACCATTTTTGTTTTATAATCTCATTTCCTTTAAAACRTATTTCTAAGCCTATGGAGATTTTGAAATCTTCTCATAGAGTTTTGTTTTAATGTAATAGAATCCTATCCGCCAGTGTAATGATCAGAGTCAAAGCCTAGAAACACTGGAAAGAATATAATTGCAGAATTTTGTTTACACTCCTAAGAGATCTTGTTATAATGCCAAAATTCTGTTTTAAATTTTAAAAACATAAATTTTAATTTTAAAAACATAAAAAAGTACACACATATAAAATATTTTATAAGAAACAACACAATGGGAAAACTGGGTAAGTAAAATAATTAGAAATTTAAGTGGTACAAGAGATTTTATTAATTTGCCAAAACAAAACCTTTAAACTTTTTGTTTTTAAAATTATTTCTCTTCCTTTGGTTAGTTTCCTGTAACTATGATGAAATAATATTTACAGGAAAAGGTGATTTTAGGTAGAAAAATATTTTTCAGTTTTGATARTAGTTACTAATGGGTAATTGATATCTTGTTAACATCCTGTTGTCCTTTAAAATCTTTAGAGAAAATATTCATATGTAATCAAAATAAGAATAAGGTCATTAATTACTTTCTACTTATTCCATGAGTAAACATTCTATCCTGGTTTCTACTGCTGTTATATTTGTGCAACATTTTGTTAAGGAACTTAAATAACTTTTGATGTTAAAATTTATATTCATTCTAATTGTGATGGTGCATGCCTGTAATCCCAGAGGCATGCAGAAGCTGAGGCAGCAGAATTGAATCTTCATAGGTTCAAGGCCAGGCTCAATAACTTAGCAAGACCCTGTCTCAAAATAAAAAGGATTGGGGATGTAGCCCAGTGGTAAAGTGTACATGGGTTCAGTCCCTAGTACCCAAAAAAAAAAAAAAAAAAATATGTAGGGGGGGAAAAAAGCAAGTGGGTATTATATAAATTTTCTCATTAGTAAAAATTTGTATTGTGTTTGTAGGTGATTCTGAACGTATAGTTGGGTAGTCTGTATGGAAGTATTTGAATAGTGACAAAAATTAGAAATTTATTCATGTAACCTAAGGACAGTTGTGTCCTTAGGTTACTCAGGGTCCTGGAAATTGGGACTTGGAAAGCAACTAAATGCTAAGTAACAATAATAATATCTTAAAATTTGAGCTTCCAAAGCCTAACTCTGATATTTTAAGGCTGATTTAAAGGATGTTCATAGTGAGTATCATGAACTGACCTCTGTATGAGATACAACCCTCACTATACCTTATTTCTGACTTCTCTCTCATAATACTTACAAATCCCTGAGAGAGAAGTCTAATTGGCCCAGTTGGTATTTAATATCAGTAATATTACAATCCACACTGTTCAGAGATCAATGTTATTTGGTTTATTTATGAGAAAAATTTGTAACACTGAGTAAATGTAGTATATTTTATGCCACTGATTTCAATTAATATATTGAAAACCTGTTCTTTCATAATACTATAGCATTAAAATATGGACCTGAGAATGTTGGTGGAGGAAGGTTTGCTATGGGTAGGTCAATGGTGTAAGGTTTGGTGGTGAGATGTCAGAAGCATGTTTTCATTGCTTTTAGTGCAGCAGTACTATACAGCTCCATGGATCTCTTTTCTGATGTCTTTGGGGTGGCGCATTAACTGAATCCCTCTGGAT